ACGTATTATTGTGTAAGCTACCATGAAATCTTAAATTAAGTGTGCTGTGAGGAAATGCATCAAGTCACTCCAGGTCACCACACCAAACCCTTGTAGCACTGTAAGACAGTGCACAGCAAAAGCCTAAATAGCAGTAGACAGCACGAACAAACTGTAACCTCAAAACTGCACAGGGCGACTTTTCAAGAGTAATGAATCTGGAGGTGCCATCAACTTTGTTATTAATTCTAATCAGTCAAAGGTGGGGTTCTAACCTTACCCGTTTATCAGCAACAGCTTAGGGGAATTATTCTGTCATTTTCTTAGACTGCATTGTGCAAGCATTAAGCTTGATAAAACCTTTCATTCCAGCAGCAAAGAAAATTGCTGATGGGGCACACAGAAATAGTGTCCATGCTCCCCGCCAGGCAAAGCTCCCAGCCACTGCAGCCTGTGCTCTGGAGAAGAGCAGCCCTCATGTTATCAGGAACCAGGGCCTGGTCCCATATTGAAGCAAACAGGACATAATATCACAAATGTGACCCAGCCCTCTGCAGCATCCCCACTCCAGCACAGGTACCGTGCAGCAGGAGCCCAGATGTTCATTAGACTCAGTGCAGACAGAAAGAGGCTTAGTAGGCTGGCTCCTGCTCATAAGTCACTCTTCACTCTGCAGTGTTGGTCAAGTCCCTGTGTAGTTCAGGTCTTCACCTGTTGAATGCGAAAAATAAGTATTTAGAGGATAAACTGAAGTTTTAATTACACTAGCCAGAGTAGAAACTAATTGTTGATTTCAGCTAGATGGAGCTAATGTCAGCACTGTCAGCAATACCTTGTCCGTTCCCATTTGAAAGCAAAGCAATAAAAATGTTGCCACATTAGCCTGGCTGCCTCAAATAAAAAAAAATTCTCTTTCACCCAATTCCTATAATTTAGAATGTGTCCTCTGATACAACAGGGACCAAAAGCTAGCTTGCAACTCCCCTTGCATAGTTCTGATCCAGGAACAGGAATGAAGGAGTCATTGGAAAGGTATCCACTGTGATGTGTGTCTTTCACAGAGAAATGGCAACTCTTATGATACTAGTTACAGCCCACAAATCTCTAATTGAACATTAAACATAATAAAAAAAAAAAAAAACAGAATGAAGTAAGATGACAATTAATTTTACTACTGAAGTAGCTTGCCCAGCAATTGCCCAGCAATTGGGTATTTGTAAAACACTCCGTGGTGACCCCCCAGCCTGTGCAGACATAAAACAAATAGACCCAAACGCTGTCATTAAGACCTAACAGAAAGGTGCAACACATACAAAGGCTCATTAGCGCCCATTAAAAATGGGGGTTTAAGGGAGCGAAACAGCAGTTAAGGGCAACCATCAGAGGTCTCATCAGCTTGTGGAGTATTTAAAATACAGTATGCAGGGAGGTGAACAGGTGCAAGCACAAGCCCACTGCACTGAAACCCAATCCTGTGGGTGGCACCCCCCGTGCCCTGCAGCAGGGACAGATGGTGCAGGGAGCCCTGGGGCTGCTGTGCCAGGGTGCGCGGGGCCAGCAGGAGCGCTCCTCCATCGCCACCCACTGCCCTGCCTCCGCTCCATGCGTGTCACACTAGGGCCTGAGAGTTCAGCCTCCGGGTTTTTGTCGGGCTCCGATGCTCCTTCTCAAAGAGACTGTTCCTTTCAGTTAGAGTTTTAATTAATTTAGAAGGAATTATTAGGGTCTCTTTAATTTCCCAGCTTGTTTTGAAAAAGTCCAATTAATACTGAGCATAGCAGCTCCAAAGGCTCCCCAGCTTTCATCCACCCTGAAGGGATCCAATTAAAATGAGACACTAGTCAAAATGTCAAACCACAATAATTTTTAAAGCCGTTGTGCAACAGATCTATGACTACATATAAACCACACAATTATGGAACAAATCACACAATACTTAAAAAACCTGAAGCTTAAAATGCCCTCACTCGAGATGAAACCTCCCCATCAACAAAGAACATGCTCAGAACTTAAAACAAAAAATAAAAATCACACTTCCTTTTACAGAACAGTTAAAACCATGAAGCATGGTTTTATGATGAAACATGTAAAGTAGACCATAATTATATGATAAGGACTTAAATGCAGAAAAGACAGTCCAGAAGCTCTGCTGATTGTGGAGTTGAAGGACCTCTGAGCCAGCACAGGCAGAGTCTGGTAAAGCCACACCATGGAGAACTGCAGAAATCTCTCTGTTCTGCTTCCACAGTCATGCAGGTGGACTGACAATCACTTCAAGAGTCTCCACAACTGCAGCATATTGTAGTCTGGAAAAATTGTGATCTGTTTACAAAGTCTTTCCGTGTTACCTTTCTCAAACCTTTATAGATCATAATAAGGTCTCGCTCATACACACATCCCTCACTAGATAAAATATTTTTCTTGATTTCAGCTTACTTTCTTGAAAAATCTTAAGTCTTTCATTCTAGCTCTGAAAGTACTTTGTCTAGCTTTGGAAAAGAAACAGGTATTACATCATTTCTGAATGGGAGACGAAATTACAAACTGAGACAAGTCAAAATTTCAGATGAGAATTTGTTTTTAATGAGCTGTAACTTTAATATAATTTGGTTAATCTTCCTGGTTTCTGCAGAAAATTGTTCCTCTCTTTCCTACCAGTCAAACAGATTTTTCCAAACCAAAGCAGCTGCATCACTTGGTTCTTGGCCTGAGCACAGAAAGGCAATACTGTTTGAAAAGGACTTCAAGTTTTTTTAGTTTCTTTAACCTCATTGCTCTTGTAATTAAAACTTCAACTTTCCCACTCATGATAAAGCTGGATTTCAGCAGCAGAAAAGGCATTTGAAACACATGAGTCTTAGGAATGGCACTGTCCTTCAGAGAAACCCATACAAGAAGTCACTGGTCTCCGCACACCAGCAAGGAGCAGCAAAGGAGCTGGTAGAAGAGCGGCCCAGAGGGTGCCTGAGACAGCATGGGAGATGTTGCCACCAGCACTGGTTGCTGTCGGCCCTCTCTGCCCCCAGCCTACTGATGCCTCCCTCTTGGGGCAGAGAGATCCTATCAAACACTGCACCAACACTTCTGGGTCTTCCCAAAGGAGTGCTGCAAAAACCAAATGCCCCTTTGGGCAACCTGCTGCACAACTAGTGCACTTCTTATATGTATAGTGCTGCGAAGCTCTTCTGTCTCTATCATTTTGCGGGAAAGAAGATCTCTTTTAGACTAAAAATTGTGCAGGAAATCTGACAAGAGACGATTCTGTTCTATGGTTTTGTATCCTTCAGCTTTACCCACCTGTGAAATGAACAGAAAAATGGTAAGATCTTTATATTTCCATTTGTGCATTACTTGAGAACTGAAACGCAAACCTGTCTTGTCCTGCAAAACCAAGGAAAATGAAGGTGTGAGTATTTCTGTCAGGCGTAAGAGAAACTAAGATCAGCAGGCACAGTAGGAGCATGGTCCTGTGTCTGCTTGGCTGTAGCAGGTAAGTACAGTGCAGCAGGTTTCACACTAAAGCTTTCCTGGACAGCCACTGCTCCGCAGGGTGGAGGGAAACGCTGAAGAAGGGCTGAAGTACCACAGCATGGTAACAGCTGGTAAATCTCTTTCTAAATAGAATGTTCTAAGTGAAAAAGAGTATGAAGAAACAGCAGTTTTCACCTGTTTTCAGCAAGCTACCTGAGCTTGGACAGGAGGCTGGAGAGAATGAGGGCAGAATTACCAGGAGCAGTTTGCACAGCCCTGAAAAAGATCTGAGATACTAAACTACCAACGTTTGCTCCTCCTGAGACTCTTTATGATGCCAGCAGTGCAAAGAAACAGTGTGCATTTCTACGGACTGCTTTTGTGACCCCCAAATTAAACATCCTTTAAAATTCCTTTATATTACCTTCTAAATAACTGATGTGTGGCAGGCTTCTCCAGGGATTGTGTACCTTAATTTACTAAGCATTCAACATATACTGTTCAGCTGAAGTTTGCTTAGTAATACATAGCTAATAATGTGCAAATAATTAAAGGAAAACTATCACATTCTCTCCGTGTACTCCTATTTTGTTGGCAGAGTGGTTTTGACTCTTAAATCCACTTCTTCTGACCTTTTCCTTGGTCAGCTGGGTTTCCCCTTCCACTCCTAAGAATTAAGATTTTGTTGTAGTGTTTCCCTGAGTTGTCTGTCTGAGCTGGGGGAAGTTCTCTAAGTCACAGGTCCCTGTTGTGACCAGGTGTTTCTTCACCCAGATGGCACTCTGGACTACACTTTGAATTTGGAACAGCTGACTCTCTCCATGCTTCTTAACAAAACACAGTATCTTACAGATTTTCTTACCCTATAGCAGCTCCCAGAGTGAGGTTCAGCAGAGCTCTAAAGGGAAGGTAAGAAAGAAGTTAGCCCCAGTTATCTGAATTTAACATCACACACTATCACTATATGTCCTTCAGGAATTTTGCTGATGATTGTGCATTGGCTACCAGCCCAAACCTCAAAGCAGCATAACTAAAAGGTGGCTCCAGCCTTCAGGGGAGCCAAGTCAACCCATGGATCATAGGCTCAGGAGTCAGCTCCAGCAGAGAAAAGCTTTTGTGTAAATTCCTCAGTTAGTTCCTCAGTTGGCTTAGGGGAGTGCCAAACGTGGCAGTGTGAGTTCCTTACTCGCCAGGGAACCAGAGGATGGCATGGTGAATGTCACGTACACTCTCAGTAAGCCATCTGAGACTTGTCAGTGGGTGAGTTGCACTATGACAAAATACAGGAAGAACCACATTTAATAAAGAAATGTTAATCTTTGTTCACAGACTCACCACTTGTTCTTATATGCATGCACAGAAGGAAAGGGCTTCAAAGAGGCTGCACTTTTTAAAATTGCTTTCTAAGCTCAACCTCATTAGATGTCAAACCTATTTCTTTGCTGGCATATCTCTTTTTACAAATACTTCTCTGCCTACATGAATAAACGATTAAGGATCTGGGAAAGCAACGGGTCTGTATTACAGCACTTCTTCCTTCTCTGTTACAGGAATGACCTGCCAAGCTCGAAGTTCCTACATTACGAGTGAGATCCTGTGGGGTTACCGTTTCACCCCTGTCCTCACTCTGGAGGATGGATTTTATGAAGTTGACTACAACAGTTTTCATGAAACGTATGAGACCAACACACCAGTTCACAGTGCCAAAGAGCTGGCAGAAATGGCCAGTCGAGCAGAACTGCCCCTGACGTGGTCTGTTTCCAGCAAGCTGGACCAGCATGCTGAGCTGGAAACGGAAGAGGAAGAAAAAAATCAAGAAGACCAAAATGAAAGAAATGGTGATGTGGCCAACTTGGAGAATGAGTCCAAAGTGTAGAACCACTGGGGGCAGAGGGCCACACCACTTCCTTTATCTTCTCCCTCTTTGCTCCCATTTTCTTTCTCTGACATACCTTTTTCTTTTCTTCCTTGTTATTCTTAATTTTGGGAAAATAAATACTTAAGATGTGAAATATCTACCTGCCCAATTTAAACTCAAGAAATTCACAGGCTAAGAAAAAACAAGGGTTAAAGCTGCAATACCCATTATCGATGGTGGAACCTTGAGCCCCACTTTGGTAATGACTGCTGGCTTCCTCAGCACCTCTCTGAGTTCAGACCTCCAGATTTAGCCACAACAACAACTTAAAAAAAAAAAAATTTAAAAAAAAAAAAGCTAAATGGAAATATAGGAAATATATACAAGGGATTTAAAAGTAAAGACTAATTAATACTCTTCAAAGTGATGGGCCTTGGCTCCAGTTTTTATGTATTTCAGAACAGCTTCACATACTGAGTGACAAGCTTCTATGAAATGGGCCTTGCAGCTTTAAGATGAAGGTGAGCAGAAGGATCTGCAATCCAACACAATACTGTACATATGCCTTATGTAATTATTTTCTCTTTATATTTAGTAATAAAAACTGCATGTACAAAAGTACTGTAGTAAAGAACTTCTAAATAATGTATATAGATGTGTAATTAATGTAGGTTTAGAAACAGATTTGTAGAAATATTGGGATGCAAAAACTGACTACCCATCAAGTAGGCATTTCTCTTCTAATATTTGGATTGCAATATTGATTTTTTTTCCCCTATACGTATGGCTCTTCTAGTGCATGATATTTTCTTCAGTGTACCAGACTGGCAGCTATTTAGAGTACCTCACTGTTTGCCAAACAGATCGTTTTACTGACTCTAAAAAGCCATAAGTCTGGGAGAGGGCAGGGTAGAGAAATTGTAATAATTACTCATATACTGTGAAAATGTTTACAAGTGAGGGAAACCATTCCTGGTTACTTTTTTTGGCAGTTCAACCTAAAATTTAGGCTGTGGCAAACTCATGGCAATTCAGAATATCCTGTATATTCTTAATATAGAGAGCATGTTTCATGTGAAGGCATTATCCTTTATGTGCAATATGTAGGGAAACTTCTCCTTTCTCCCCACCCAAACCATGGGATTTCAGAGGAGTAGTTTGCTAAGGATACAGCACAAGCCATTGAAAACCAGATGTTGTACCTTAACAAGTAGATTTTAGCTACTCAGCTGCCAAAGAAACAGCTGAATTTCATCCGAAGCCATGATCAATGAAATTCACTTGTTTCCAGCACGGGTGCTTGGCCAGCCTGGCAGGGTCACGGGTGGTGAGACATCCCTGGGTAGACGCTTCAGCAAGGTTTCTCAGCGAAACACATGGTTCCTGCCACCCATGCTCAGGACAGTGGTTCCCTAACAACATTCTTCACCTTAGGTTAGCTCCTTAGCTGTTGTAAATCAGTGTAAATCCTGTACATTCCAACTTGACAACTTTAAAGTTAAGAGGGCAGTGGCAACTTGCATAGCTTAAACAGCGACACGCCCACGAGCCGGGGAGCTGATGTGTATGGTCACAGTTTCATGAACATGCTCTGTATGGGGCTGCTCATGTGGTGTGGCATTGCCCAATGCTAAGGAGCACTCAGTCAGGCCCAGAGTGCACAAGGCACTACCTGGTGGAAAGAGCATTGCTTTTGGTAGGCTTTTGCTCAGGCCCATCAAGAACAGCATTTCTGTCAGCAAAGGAGAAGGAGATGCAGCCTTAATTTTGTTTTTTATACCTGCCTACTCTGGAAAGGAAGGATACACTGAAGAGAATCTGAAGCATTTTTGTACAGAAACATTTATGTTAAAACAGAAGAGAAAAAAAAAATAACCTCAGGAGAAACTTAGTGGGCAGGTGGAAATTTTGCACTGTGATAATAGCTTTCACATTAAATTCACACCTATTTCCTTTTTTTTTTTTTTTTCTAAAAAAACAGCCCCCTGCTAATTTTCACACAGTGTGGCTAATCCATGGGGGTTTCTGCAGGTCCTCTAGCTGTGCTTCAAGCTGAGGCAGGCTAGGGAAAGGGTTGCACACTAGTGACTGGCAGATCAGGCTGGATGGGAAGATTTTTTTGTGTAAGCTCTGAACACTTTCCCTAAAAAGCTTTCACAAAGCAGCATGATGTAAGGAATGATGCAGAATATGGATTTTTGTTCATTTCACCTGGGATGGCTGATGTTTCCAACTTGGTAAAGGTTACTTATACTTAACTTCTGTGAAATAACACTCATTTTGCTTCCTTCAGACCTTTCAAAGCTCATTCTTCTGCCCCAGCATCAGCGGCTGCCAAGTGCTCCAGTTCATCCATCGCAACCCACTTGTAAGGTTACCCGTGAGAGGTACAGAGCATTTTTAAGGAGCTCCCCAGCTCCACTGGAAGACAGCTGTCCCACAGCAGGAGAGCCAAGGGTAGCACAGCATTGGGAGCAACGAGCCGCCTGCGCCTGTCAGCCCTAGCAAAAGGTGCATGAGCTGAAAGCAAAGCGTTCCTCTGAGGATGAACCTGCTTTTTGCTCTTGTAATTTACTGGGCCACTCTATAATTCATTGCTGCAGTTTAACAAAAGTTTGTGTTAATTAGAACAGCAGCTCAGGGCCCTAATTAAACCTTTTTTGTGTCCTTTAGCACAAAAAAAAAAAAATAGACTTTCCACCACTGGGGCATGCGCATGTGTAAGCTATATTTTTGTGAATAGGGCACTTAAAGCTTAAGGTGTGTGTTTGCCCTTCCTCTCTCGCCCCCTGTATTTTATTGTCTTTGGTATTAATGTAGTATGGACTGTAAAGTTTATGAATTCTCTTTTTTGTAACATAAGCTTAAAAAAAAAATAGAAGCTCTCCAAAGCTTTCAACAGGGAAGCTTCACGTAAACTTTGTACTAGAATGTCCCTATCAAACACCTCTATTTTTCTACAATGATTGATTAAGCAGTTTAACAATGTATTTTGTGTCAATGATTTTGACTGAACCAGTAAAAAGACAATTAAGAATTGAATGCTGTTAATTAACAATGGATTTTCAAGCCGTATATACTGAGTGGTGTTTTCATTAACAGTAAATAATTTAACCCGGGAACCTCATCTCCTAATCCTAAACAATATAGTATGAACCATCTGTGCCCTGTGGGAATATTTTTGGCAAATCACACTTAAGGAACATGAATAATGCAATATTTTAATATAGTTGACTACATAATTAATCAACACCCATTATGTCTCTATAATAATTCATCAATTTTGATGTCTTTTTCTCAGAATCTGGATTTCAGGAGCAAAAGAGTTTACAGAGATAAATGTGAACTCTCAGTAATCTACTGCACCTCTCAATACCTTCTTCCAATGAACAGGAATTTTTGAGGTGCTTTGGACAGACTTCAGTCACCGTGTTGCAGAGCTTTCTCTGGCTCCTTCTCACCTTTTTTCTTTTTTCTTTTCTTTTTTTTAACACACTAATTATTTCTCTGCTACCTAAATTTCCAAACCAGATCTTTCAGGTGTTAATAATAGACACAGATATACTGCTTTTAATGGAGCAACATTAATTTCTACTGGGCAAGAATTTGACCTTCAGCAAATACTTGAAGCTCTGGCTTATTATTTAACAATAAATAGCATCTTACCAGCATTAAAATAATTTCCTAAATTATTTCAAAATAGGCATCAAAAAAAGCAAACATTTTCTTAGCAGTACACAGCTGTTGTGATCTAGATCTGTGCCCTACAAAACCGTAGTGATTGGCACTGATGTGAGCCATCCCAACAAATTTAACTTCTGTGCTCAGAGTTGAACACCCTGCTTCTACAAAGGGCCTCACTGCAAGCGTGCAGGTCAAGGGGATTGCACAGCCCTGAGTCAGAACTCTGCAGGTCCCTTGCAAGGTGAAGGAAGGAGGTGGTGTGTCAGAGACAGGTGCCCAGCAGGCAGATGCCAAAGCAGGTGGGACAGGGAGCTGGCAAATGCAATAGGAAAACATTTGTCAGATGGTTTTAAGTTCATTTCAAGACAAGTTCGGGATTTAACCTGGTGCCCAGATCTGGGGATGCCCATGTTCCTCTGCTAGAGTTAAAGAGGAAACTCAGGCCTTTCAAAACCAGGGAAGAAATTCATCTTGTCTTTTCAGCCACAGGGCAGAGGTTCCCATTTGACTTAACTGCATGGTATTGGGCTGCTCAGGAGAGAGAAGACCTGAATTCAGTGTTCTCTTCAGCCCAGGAGGTTCAAATTCACATCTCACTCCTCTCAGAAAAATTAACCCTGCATAACAGCAACAGCAGAGCTCCAGCCCCTATGCTAAGGGCTTACTGGCTCTTGAATTCTCCTGCTATCCCAGAGAAAATTTAATCCTTCCATTTTTAATGGAAGAATGGAAAATTCCTCATTCCCTGGGTCCATAACAGCTTCCATCCTCTCAGTCAGGATGCTCCCTGGTTAACTGGCAGACCTCAGGCTGGGGAAGACATGGTGCTCAGGATTCTCACCTCCTGAGCCAGCAGCCAGCTGCTGCTTGCAGAGATTCAGCACCACGGCCTTTGCCTATGTTTCTAAATGCAACCAGCTACACCACCCACCTCCTAGGAGGGCAAATCCTGCAAGGCCTGGATTTTACATGCTCTGAACTTCATGAACCAGGGTGATGGTGGGTCTTACCGGGAGGTGGAAGGAAGACAAGTTGTTTTATCCAAGACAAGCTCCGCTGTCAGATGGGGATAGCAGCGTCCAGCCCTGAAAGGATGCACAAAGTCACACCCAGAAACTGTGGCCAGCAGGATGAAGAGGTATCTGGGATTCCTGTGTGTCGCAGATTTGAAAGAAAGCAAGTGCTGAATTTATACCACCTCTTTCAGTTATTTAATGTGGATGTGAATTAGAGGGTCAACACTGAAAGTGTAATTTGTCTATATGGCAATGGGAGGGTCAGGCACCTTGGCTAGGACATTTCTTAGCAGCTACCGCTGGAGCTTCTGACTGTGA